CATTTAGATTGTAGATTAAAATTCATTTCCGTTGTAATTGAGATAGGGACCATTGGAGAACAACAAAATGTAGATTTTGGAGTGTGAAATGTAAGGTGATTCAACCACTCAAAAAAAATCTTGAAATTTATCTTTTAAGTAAGCATCTTGATCCAAAATTTATGTTCAAGCATGTTTCAAATTCATACATTGGTATCAGAGCCATAAGGTTGAATTCCTTATTGGAATATATGCTTATATATGCCATTATATGATTCAGAGGGTGTTTGGTGGAGATTAAAATTAGATTTTTAGTGAATTGTGATATAAGTTTTTGAAATGTGTGGTTGAAAAGATGTGAGACTCATGAAAGATGTGGTTAATATTAATTGTTTAACTTTGATTTAGATTAAAATCGAATTTTAATTCGGTCGAAACAGACATTATGAATTTTGTATGTAAAGTTTTGAAACATTGTATGGTCTTTAATGACATCTTTTGATATATGTGTGTCTAAAATTAACAAAATTTTGAAATTATGTATATAATATGATTTAGAATTCATTTGCAAAATTTCGTCAATTTTCGTTTAGGAGAAAATTGAGGCCCCAATCAATTTTGCAAAAATTTACTGTATTTTATTAATTGATTTTCATGCAATAATATTAGTAGGGTTAAAAAGGTATTTCAATTAGATTTCCAACCATATAAAGAACTTAAATTTTGGACTTAAAACAAATAAGTTATAGGGTTTTAAAATTTGGATAAAAAATTAAATTTTTACATGAAAATCGATAAAATTCGAAACTATATCACATGATAACTTCTTCTGCACTATGTTTCATGCTTCCCATTTGATATGTTGGATAGATCTTCTTGAGATCTTTCCAACGATATCAAGATCATTAATTTTGGCATTGAAATGAAAAAGTTATGGCCTCTTGAAATTTGGATGAAAATATGATTTTTAGCATGAAAAATGATAAAATTTAAAATTTCATCACGTAATAACTTACTGTACGTTAAGTTTCATGCTGCCCATTTGGTATGCATGAATAAATCTTCTTGAGACCTTTAAAATGATATAAAGAACATTAATTTTGCCTACAGTTTACTGGAACTAAATATTTTCTAATTATGTTAAATGTACCATGTATCTATTAAAGCTATTAAATTTAGTTTTATCATTTTATTTATTTGTAGTTCTATGGGCATTCTAAGGTTTTTGGTTGAGTTTATTCTAGATATTTGACAAATTATTTCTTCTTGATTTTCTGTTTCTAAATAATTATTTTCTATGTAATTGTCTATAGGCTATTTTACTTCTATTTCTAAATTTCTAATTCTATATTGTATTTTTCCTAATATTTCGTATATTTTATCTATTTTATTATTTGTATTTATTATCCTATCACTTCTAATCTTTCTATGATCTCCTTATAATCTTTAGTTTTATTATGAACTTTAATTCCTAAATAATTAGATTTCTATTTTATATCTTGGGTATATTTTACAAATTTTACACTTATCCATCATTGATCATTGTCCTCTGATCCATTCATGGACACATTTTTGTTCTACATTCATCATTTTATGTTGAGAATTGAAAAATCTAGTTCTTCTAAATTACTATAAATGTCTTCAGAACTGCCTATTACTTTTAAATTGTCTAATTCTTTATCCGTGTAAATACTTGGTGTGTTGTCGCAGGCATTCAAAAATAAAACCTTAACTTCTAAAAACAAATGTAGTAGTGAAAGCAATGGTCGATCCCATGAAGAGTGATTAATCTAATTTTATGTTATGTAAACGATTATTGGGGAGTTCTGATTATATGCAAATAACTTTAAATAAATCAACTAATGAATAACTCAAATTAAAATAAAGAAAGTAATCAAAAGAACAAACATTGGTCTAAATCTGCATCCACCATTGAAATTTCACAAATGATCATATATGCAAATATATATTAATCCTCATTTTGAATATTCACCGTTGGAATTATTTTCCTATTTCTCTTTAATTGTAGTTAATTAGAAAACAAGTGATTCAATTAACCCTAATTACTAAACAACCCAAGACAGGCGCTATGGATTTAAAATAGTAACCGCCTTAATAATTAGAGAAATNCAGAAAATCGTCAAATCCAAGTGTTTCACAAGTTAAAGGAATCAAACAACTACGAATTTGATATTTAATTTAGCGATAGATTGCAACAAATAATAAACTAGTAGGTTTCCTATCAATTAAACGCAACAATCATGAAAATAAGTGTAGAAAAACATTTAATACTCAAAACATGAATTAATCAATTAAAATAATTTAGATCTCACAGTTAGATTGGTTTCGAGACTTTAGTTTCCTTCGACAAAGTACAAGAATTTAGTTACACCTGAAGAATTCTAAAAGAAAAAAAAGAGAAAAAGGGGAATGGGGGAATCTTCTATTTTTTGGACGGTTTTAGGGTTTAAAAAGCATTTTGAAATTTGTTTCCATAAGTGTTCGAGTCAAATTTGGAAACTAGAATTTTTGCGTCAGGAAATGTACTATGCGATTGCATAGTACAGATGCATGCGGTTGCATAGAAGAGTTTTGTTTAGCCTTTGAATTCCCTTAAAGTTATGCGACCGCATTGTTTTATCTACTTCTATCGGATAACCTTCAGTACATTGGTCATATCATTCTCTCCCGACATTCAATTGAGGAGATTCAAGATGCGTTAGAAATCTAATGCAAAGGTATACGAATCATTCAGAAATACAATATTTCTAGTTCGAACATTTTCTATGCCAAAAATGGGTCTCAAACTGAGACTAAAAATTCGAAGCATAACTTTTTCTATTGGGAGTTGATATGTGATAGTACACTATACCGGGTTCGCCTACTATGAGTGGTGTTGCTGAAAGACGAAATAGAATACTTAAGGACATGGTGAGGAGTATGATTACTCATTATACCTTGCCAGAATCACTTTGCGATGAAGCATTAAAGACCGCTGCATATATACTCAACAAAGTTCCAACTAAAGCTACTGATAAAACCCCTTATGAGCTTTGGATAGACAAAATGTCTAGTTTGAAGCACTTGCATATTTGGGAATATCCAATTGAGGCAAGGCCCTATAGGCCAAATGAAAAGAAACTAGATGCAATGACTATCAGTTGATATTTTATTGGATATTCTGAAAGGTTCAGGGGTTACAAGTTTTATGATCTCACAACAAAGGCAATATTCGAGACATAAAATGCCCAATTCTTTGAGAATGTTGAGTTTATAGGGGGGGAGAAAGGATTATAGACTTTGTCTTTTAAGAAAAAATATGTTGAAATTCCTCCAATTTCCATCAACAATGGTGATGATCAAGTTAAGATAAAGTCTATGAAGGACAATGATGTGTTGGACCTCGTTCCATTGCTTGAAGGTGCAAAATTCATTGGTTGTGAATGGATATTTAAGACCAAGAGGGATTCAAAGGGTGATGTAGAGAGGTATAAGGCTCGTCTTGTTGCAAATGGTTTTACACAGAAAGAAGGCATTGATTATAAAGAGACTTTCTCTCTGGTTTTTTCGAAAGACTCTTTTATGATTATAATAGCATTGGTAGAGCATTTCGATCTTGAATTACATTAGATGGATAATAGCGTTTCTCAATGGTGATATTGAT